CCATACATGAACTAAAGCCATTTCTGGGGTCAGGCTCTCCACATCCAGTTAACTTCCAAAGGCCCTGCTTCTGCTGACTGCTGTGTGGAGGATGGGAAGCCCTCAAAACAGGAACTTCTGTAGGATTTGTAAGTCCTACAAACCTAATCCCAATCATTCTAAGGCTGTGGTAGGAGAATTGTGAGTTTGAAACCAACATGGGCTACACAGTGTGATTCCATGTCAATAAAAAAAAAAATCTTAATAACTGGCATGCAAAGTGCTTACACCAGCAGGGCGGACATTCTGTCAGCTGCCATTGGCACATCGCCATTAGTATCACTACCATCCCCGCAGGGGAATGAGGTGGGTGTGCTCGGGGGGAATGGGTAGTGCCTGCTGCAGACATGATGCTCTCGCCACCTCCAATACACTGCATTCTGAGCACTTGCACTCCACGCGCAAACACTACATGGCCCGACATGTGACTGACTTGATGACACTTGTTCCTAGGTGGACAGACACACAGAGGTGGGCACGGATTGCTGACAGGTCACACAGCAGGGGAGGTGCAGAGAAGCCAGGGAGTGAACATGGAGCAGAGAGAATGAGTTCCTCATTCTGGGCCCTGCGCTCCTGCAGGTCTTCTGGAATCTTCTCAGAGCAGGAGGGAGAACTGGGGCATTCTGGCCTCGACCCCACTGTCTGGCATCTGCTTCCTCAGTTGTCACCTCTTAGTGTCTTTGACACGGAAAGGTCCCCTGCAGGATACCAAAAGAGGAAAGTCAACACCAACCCATCAATGAAATCGTTAACCTACAATCTGTCCTGCCTGCAAAATATCTAGGGCATTGGGGGCACAAACCTTGTGGGAGTAACCAGCCGGTGTCTGGTTTGACATAAGGCACACTCCATGAGAGGGAACCCATACTGAACACTGCTTGTGTGACCAAGAATCAGAGACTAGATAGCCCACAGGGTAAAACTGCATACTACTGGTCTTTTAAAAAAAAGTAACAATAAAATGACTCCTAATGATGTTCTGCTCTACCCAGAGATGGGTGCATTATTCAGCCACCATCAGAGAGGCTTCCTCCTGCAGTGGATGGGAACAAATACAGAGACCCACAGCCAGACCTTACACAGAAAGAGAGACCTTGGAACCACATCTCTGAATGGGATATCTCCACCAAATCTCTCCCCTCAGCTCCCAGGGAGAGATTTTCAGAAGAGGAGGCAGGAGCGGTAGAGACAGAAGGATGGAGGACACCAGGAGAACCAGGTCCTCCAACACAAACGAGCAAAGTTCCTATGAACTCAGAGACTGAAGCGCATGCACAGGACTGCACCAGCCCTCTGCATATTATACACTACAGCTTTCCGTTCCGGACTTTCATGGGACTCCTGAATGTGTCAACATGTGGGTCTCTGATTCTTGGGCCTTCTCTTGGGGCTCTTTATTTTTCTGTTGGGTTGCCTTGTCCAACTCCAATATGATAGTTTTTATCTTATTATATTTTATTTTGTTGTTATCTCTTAGATGCCTGTTCTTTTCTAATGAGAGGCAGAAAGGAGGTGAATCCAGGTAGGAGAGGAGGTGAGGAGGAACTGGGAGGAATACAGGGAGGGGAAATGATATTCAGCTTATATTGTATAAGAAAGGCATCTATGTTTAATATAGGGGGTGTTTCTTGCTGGTGTGGTGGCACCACCTTTAATTCTGCACTCAGAGGCAGAGGTAGATAATCTCTGTATATGCATGGAGAGTTCCAGGCCAGCCAGAGCTACCTAGTGAGACCTTGTCTCAAAAATAAATAAATTTTTTAAAGGAATGAATTTATTTGTTGGTTTGTTTATTATGTATACAGTGTTTCACCTGCATGTATGCCTGCAGGCCAGAAGAGGGCACCAGATCTCATTAGAGATGGTTGTGAGCCACCATGTGGTTGCTGGGAATTGAACTCAGGACCTCTGGAAGAGCAGCTGTGGAGTCCACAATAACTCGAAAGCCTTAGCCACCTACACCTGCTTTTTCTGCTGCATGACCCTTGTTCCATATTCTCTGCAGTTATGAAAAGAACAGTGTTAAACATTAACACCCCAGCTGTGTCAAGATAACCACAGACTTGTGTAAACGTGCTTTTACGAACCCCATATTAAGCCTGTGCAAACACCTTGCTATCACAAATCACACTACTAGTTGTAAAATGTTATCACAAGTCATAAATTCCCATAATGTACCGTCACCCAAGACCTAACTTCAAATTGTAAAAATCCTTTCTTATATCACCCCGACCTCCCTACTTGTGGCTTTTGCTTTAAAAAGGGGCTACTCCCTCTGTTCAGATTCCCAGTGTCAGAACCTGACTTGCCAGTGGCCTTAACTAGTTAGAAGTTCTGGTGCACCACGGTGATGGAATAAAGTTGCCTCTGCTTATCTAAGTTTGGTGGCCTCGTCCTCAATGTTTGTGTGACTCCCAGACCAACACAGCCAGGGCTCTTAACCAATAAGCCATCTCTCCAACACTAAAGAATACATGATTTTAAATTAAATAAGTTAAAAATACCTTCTTTCTTCTGGACTTAAACAAAAACCTCAGAAGTCAAAAACCTCCTAAAGGAAAAGTGGGTGCCTGCTATCCACTGTGCTGTACTTGAGTCTCAAGTGGGTCGTTTCTGGTGTAGCTCACTGATTACGGTTTTCTACCAGTGTCCTGGGCTATTTACTGGTTGGTTTTGGATTCCCAGTGATCTCCTCCATCAGGCTCTACTGCCGGCCTTTGTTAATAAAGTTTTATTGGAGCCGAGCCATTTTCGCTTATTTATACATTGTCTGTGGCTGTTTTCACAGCCACAAAACCTAAAATGAAACCTAAATATCCTCCATAGAAAAGATTTGCCACTACTTGTCTTTGGTGGTTCCTTAGAAGAATTTTGAGGTCTTAGCTCAGTGTTTGACACCCAATCGGCACTCAGTAAAGGTTCCTTCAATTATCTGGGAAGACACAGACATGCAGGTTCAAGAATAAGAGAGAAAAGAGCCGAGAGATGGCTCAGTCGGTAAAGCGTCTTCTGCGTAAGTGTGAGGACCTGGGTTTGGACCCACAGCACCCATGCAGAAGGCTGGGCCCATGCAGAAGGCTGGGCATGGAAGCATCGCTGTGCACTGGGAGCGCCCAGACAGCGGCTCCCTGAAGCCCCTCGGCCTTGTCGGCCTCACCAAGTCGGTGAGTTCCAGGTCCAGTGAGAAAGTGTCTCAAAAGTGAAAAGTGGAGGGTGATCAAGGAAACACACCCAATATCTGTTTTCCACGTGCGTGTTCACACGCACACAAAACCCATATCAACAAGTACATACACCACACACAAACAATCAAAAGAGGGGGAGGAAGAGGAGAAGGAAAGGCTATGAACAAAAGGCATGTCTAAGAGTGGGTAAGATGGCTGGGTGGGTAGAGGGACCCATGCCACCAAGCCTGGGGACAGGACTTCCGAAGAGAGAACAGACTCCTGCAAGTTGTCCTCTGACCTCCCTATGAGTGCTGTGGCTCACACAAAGACATGTACACACACATACACACACAGACACCAACAGACACACACACACAAATTAATAAAAAATCAAAA